GACAACAAGACACAAGACCCTTCTACCAACCTGAGCACCAATGATTCTCCCTTTTGACATCATAAAAAAGAAGTGCAGTAAACCAACATAACAAGTAAGTTTGTTAAGCAAGATCATAGCCAAAGGCAACAACATCATGAGTCGAAAAATAGGAAGAGATAGAAATTAGTCACAACAAAACAGGAATCCATTTCATAGCACAAAAGCCAGCATTCAATACATTTAAATTAAACTAAATTTGAGAACCCTGGACACTGTCCACACAAAAATAAAGACACAGGAGAGGACTATGAGGAAGGAGGTTGATGGGAAAAGGACTTGATAATAAGAGTGAGTCTAGTGTTTCCTTCATCATTGTCCTTGATCGCTTTCTCTTGAAGAGCAACAATTTTGGCCAGGAGCATCTCATTTTGTTTCCTCAGCTCTCTAACTTCTGCAGTACCGGGTCCCTCTGTTTGTGCCTTGAGCAACGCAGCTTTTAGAATAGCAATTTCAGCATCTCTACTGCTCACATGCACAGTCATCTCTTCCAACCCATGTTTCAACTGATCTTGTTCCATTATCAACTAAGATACCTTGCTCAGTGGATTTCCTTTTCCTCTATACACTCACATTCCACCAGCGTACTGAGGGTGAAGGATTATTTAGCAGTGCCAATTTTACCTGCTCCCACTAGTATGTTCAGATGATAAAACACCTTGGTCAAGAAGTAGCCATACCCCATGCCATGTTTACCCTTGCGTTCAACCACAGTCTTGTACATGTGCTCTAGCATAAGAGCTAGAAGATCAATGGGATCAAACTTGCAAAGTGACTCCATTATGAACAGATCAAAGGCAGAAGCGACAGTGCGCTTTTCTATTCGAGGAAGAAGCACCCGATTGACAAATTCAAACAACAGTTGGTACTCTCCTTTCATGAGTTTCTTTTGAATCCCAACACACCGTGTGTTAGGAATTTTAGAGCATTCTTTGACAAACTCCTTAGTGCAAGTTTTTCCAACGACGGACCTACTCCCTTCTCTCGGTATCTCCAGTATTTTCCCCAGTAGGTCCTTAGTCAGATGCAAACGTTTGTCCCCTACTCTGGTGTTTATGCTACCGTCCTCTTCAAACTCAATATTATAGTAAAACTCTCGTACCTCTTTCTCATGTAAAACAGGTGATTTGGTCTGGACCAAATGAGTCCACGATTGGATTTCCACGAGATCATACAGAGAATTGATCCCATGCTTGGTAGTGATGTCAAAGTCAAACACTCGACCTCCTAGAACCTTCTGGAGACGTAGATTGTTGACAATTGACTGTTAGCTTTCTCTGTGGTCATCCATATTTCCCAAGGGACCAGGTCCCGTTACAGAGACAGGTTTGATTACAGGAGAGGTTTCTCTCTTCCTCTTGTTCTTTATCTTTTTGGACACAACCCTTTTTGCCACAGATGCTTTAGACTTTTCCTTTCCCTAACTATTTCCCTTACTATGCTTTTTTACTTGTTTTCCCCCTTTTCTTCAGAACCTTTTTCCACAACTTCATGTTCAGAATCTTCAATCAAGACATCCACCACATCAGTATCGGGTATCTCAACGAGTACATTACCTAATTTTCTTTTCTTGCGCCTTTCTGCAGTCTTTGTTATACTAGATTTCATAGCATCACCCATCAGTTTCGTTGAATCAGATCTAGTAAATGGCCTTGTTTTAAGTGTCTCCTCTGTGACCTTCTCCTTTCTTTTTGAGGATATAAGGACCATTTTCTTTTGAACAATCCATCAGAAGGGACGATTATCCTCGTCAGTGTCAGTAGAATCGGACGAGGGGTACATACCAAACTCAGGAGTTTGGTCAAACACTGGTTGAGAACCCCCAAGAAGATCATCCACAAATTGTTCTCCTTCCTCACTTAGTAACCCTTCTCTCATCTGGGTTAGACTCTCGATGACTAGGCTTTCACTGGCTGCAAGAATGTTTGACTCAGACAATTTATTTTAGGGAAGGTCTCCCTCAAATAAGAAGTCGCACAGCATGGCAGAACAGAGACCAGGTTTGTTATTTAGGTCTAAGGAAGACTGGGTATTAAGAGGACTGGTTTCACCAATGTTGACCGGGGAGATGGTCGACATTTTGGAAGGAGACGGAGCAACGGGAGATGTGTAAAATGCCACTGGATCTATTTCATTTAGTGAGTCTAGAAATTTCTTTGGGGAAGGTGGGGATTGAGACATTTTGTTAGAGAGAAAGATGAGGAGAAACAGAGAAAAGATGAGAGAGAAGGAGAAATAAGGGGTTTGGCAGAAAGGTTTAGAGAGAAGGAGATTTGAAATGAGGAAATATGGAGTGAAGAAAAGTCTTATAGAAAGAACTTGAAACGACGTGTCAGGTCCCTGAGTAGACACGTCGCTTGGATTTGAAGCGATGGGACAACGATCAGAAGGACCGGTGACTGACACATGGAGATCTCAATGGTTCTCATTCAATCAGTTTAAGAGAAATGTACAGGATGCTAACCTTGAGAGGGACCAGGTCCTCAACAACATATGAGATTTGATTCCTGAATGGTTCTTGACCATTCTTTGCTTTTGTGTTTTTTTTCATGAGTGTATACCTGCAATAGGTACATAGTTGATCTCACTTAAACAATACATTACGAGTAATGAGGATACATGCCCTCAAGATCATAGCCAAAACTAGGATTGGCTGCCTTTGGATGGGATTAGATCAGTGCATATGCATCATTCCCAACTTTAACCTGTTACTCTCAAATTGATTATTGCTGAGAGCCTTGGTAAAAATATCTGCAATTTGATCTTCTTTCCTGCAATACTGCATGCTGATATTTCCCTTTTCAACATTGTCTCTTAACAAGTGATGTCTTACATTAATGTGCTTTGTTCTTTTGTGCTGAACTGGATTCTTTCCCATGTTGACTGCACTGGTATAGTCACACATGACAGGAATAGTATGGATGTGAACTCCAAAATCCTCAAGTTGTTGCTTGATCCATAGTAGTTGAGCACAACAAGATGCAGCAGCAACATATTCTGCCTCAGTTGTTGAAAGAGCTACTGAATTTTGTTTCTTGGTACACCACGAGATAAGTGAGGATCCAAGAAAATGTGCCATTCCAGAGGTACTCTTCCTGTCAATCTGATATCCTGCAAAATCAACATTTGCATACCCTACCAGTTCAAGGTAGTCACCTATTGGATAAAAGATGACCAGGTCCCCTGTCTTCTTCAGATACCTCAGAATCCGCTTGGCTGCCTTAAGATGTGATTCCCTGGGACATGCTTGGAATCGTGCACACATTCCTACACTAAAGACAATGTCAGGTCTGCTAGTTATTAGATACAACAGTGATCCAATAATCCCTCTATACATGGTTTGATTCACTAATGGATCCGCCTCATCTGCTCTCATTTTGTAGTTTGTACCCATGGGGGTATCAATAGGTTTGGAGTCCACTATGTGAAACTTCTTCAACAGCTCATTTATGTACTTCTCTTGACAGATTGAGTTACCACTTGGTGTTTGCTTGATCTGCAGACCCAAGAAAAAATTCAGCTCTCACATCATGCTCATCTCGAATTCATTCCCCTTTAGAGTAGCAAATTCATCACACAAATGTTCAGAGGTGGCTCCAAAAATGATATCATCCACGTACACTGGATGATTAGCAGGTTTTGTTCCCTTTTCATAAGAAACAAGGTGTTGTCTATCTTCCCCCTTTTAAAACCATTCTTCAGTAGGAATTTGGACAACCTTTCATACCAAGCTCTAGGGGCTTGTTTCAATCCATATAAGGCTTTGTTCAGCTTAAACACATGATTTGGTAAGTCAGCATTCTCAAATCCAGGTGGTTGTTTCACATACACCTCTTCCTTCAGGTCTCCATTCAAAAAGGCACTTTTGATGTCCAATTTGAAGAGCTTGAATCCCATGAAGGCTGCAAAGGCTATAAGAATTTTGATGGCCTCCATCCGAGCAACAGGGGAAAAATGTTTCATCAAAGTCGATCTCTTCCTCTTGATTGTACCCTTGAACAACCAGTCTAGAAGATTTGTTTCTTGTTATGACTCCCTCTTCATCACGCTTGTTTCTGAAAACCCACCTAGTCCCTATGATGGTTTTGTCAACAGGTCTGGGGACCACGTACCACATATTGCTCCGCTCAAACTGATGTAGCTCCTCTTGCATTGAATTGACCCAGTCAGCATCTTTCAGGGCTTCTTTCATATTCTTAGGCTCAATAGAAGAGAAGAACGTTGAGAATGCAACCAGATTTCTTGATTTGGACCTGGTTTGCATTCCAGAGTTTAATGGGGAAATGAGATTCTCAAGGGGGTGAGATGAACTTTGCTTCCATCCTAGTTTAGATACCAAAGGTTGGGGCTGATTCGTCTGTGCTTCTTCTTTTTCTTCAGAGTGATCATTCTCAGGAGAACGAGTTTCTTCTTGACTTGCATCATGAGATGGACCAGTTCCATCAGTAGGCTGGACATCTTCATTCATCTTTTCAGATGGACCAGGATCCGTGCAATTGGAATCTTGATTTCCTTCAGCTTTAGGCATGTTCGCTTCATTATTCTGGATTTTGAATAGCTCGTCAAGATCATCATCGTCCTTCATCTCCAAGCTCTTCAAATCTCCACTTTCATCTAAGACCACATGAACACTTTCCTCAATACACTGTGTTCTTTTGTTGAAAACCCTGTAAGCTTTGCTTGAAGATGAGTACCCCACAAACACACCTTCATCACTTTTAGGATCAAACTTTCCCATACCATCCTTGCCATTGTTCAGCACAAAACATTTGCAACCAAAGATCCTTAGATAACTGAGTTTAGGCTTCTTGTTGTTCAGCAATTCATATGGTGTTTTGTTCAGAAGAGACCTGATCAAGCACTTGTTAGTCACATAACACACAGTGTTGATTGCTTCAGCCCAGAAGTTTTGAGGCAGATTTGACTCGATAAGCATGGTTCTGGCAATATCAACCAGAGTTCTATTCTTTCTTTCCACCACACCATTTTGCTGAGGATTTCTGGGCTGAGAAGTTATGGTTGATACCATTTTTTGCACAGGAAACATCAAGCTTAACATTTTCGAATTTCGTTCCATGGTCAGACCTGATCGCAATCAAGCAATTTAGCTTAGTTTGGATCATTTTGAAGAAAATCATCAGCACGTCAGTTGTCTCTGACTTTGACTTGAGAAACATAGTCCACGTGAATCTTGAGTAGTCATCCACTATCACCAGAATATACTTTTTTCCATTTCGACTTTGGATTTTCACAGGCCCACACAAACCCATATGCATCAGTTCAAGAACTCTTGATGAGCTTACTTGCTTCTTTGGTTTGAATGAGGATCTGGTCTGCTTCCCTTTGACACATGCATCACACACTGTGTTATCACTGAACTTCAATTTTGGCAAGCCACCGACCAGGTCCCTAGAAACCAGCTTGTTCAGTAAAGACGAGCTCACATGACCTAGCCTCCTATGCCACAAGTCGGCATTTGCACTTTGAGCACTTAGGCATGTTTGATCGTCTCCATGAACTATTTCCAGTGCTGCCACATACATGTTTTTCTGCCTTCGGGCCGTTAATATCACCCTTTTGGTAGACAAACTGCTGACAATGCAATTTTCTGATGTGAACCTTACTTCGTTTCCTTTATCACATATCTGAGAGACACTAAGAAGACTGTACTTTAACCCATTCACATAATACACATTTTCAATAGAGCTTTCAAGAGAATTTCCAACCCTGCCAACTCCAAGGATATACCCTCTTTTTCCATCGCCAAAAGAGACACCTTCGCCTTGAAGTGCCTTGAGTGAAAGGAAGTTTTTGGTGTTTCCAATCATGTGCTTTGAGAATCCACTGTCAATGAACCAGCACTGACTTCTGCTTCCTTCACCCACTTGCAACAGAGATCATTTGTTAGACTTGGGAACCCACTTTAATCTGAGTTCCCCAAAGGGTGATAGGGGCGTAATAAGAATGTTTCTTGCCCAATGAGGCAGATTGGATTTCTTCTTGTTCTAGGACTTAGACATGGTAGCAAGTACCCCTTTTTGAGCTATTTTCTGTCTAGAATAACTGAAAAATTTTCTTGTGAGGTCTTCCAGCCAGGGCAATCCCGTTTCAGATGGCCATTGCGACTACAGTGAGGACACAGTAAATTGTCAGAAACAAATATATATTTACTATGAGGATTGTAAGGAGGATTAATGTTCAAATTACCCAATCCCTTTCTGTTGCAGTTGCTTTGACTGGTAATGTTAGAAAGCAGTTTGGTGGAACTGGTCCATTTTAGAAAAGTCTGAAGTTCTTCTTTAAGATGGACCAGGTCCCTTTCCATCTGATCGTTTCTTTCCAAGGGTAGAGTAAGTATGGTCTCAGCAGTATTTAGATTTGCTTCTAGCTCTACTTGCAAACTAGTGGCCTTCCCTTTTCTTTTCCCAGATTTCTCAATCATTATGCTCAATTGATTTTTAAGTTCTAGATTTTCAGCTTCTAGAACTGTCAAATGTTCCTGAATGAGTGATATGTGAACAACTGTTACTGTCTTTTCTTCACAAATAAGATCTAGGCTAATGTTCATAGAGTCCTTTTCGATGGTTAACTCTATGACAGACTCAACCAAAACATTTGCTAGATTTCTCAACCTTCTAACAGAATAAGAGTTCAAGTTTTACTTAATGTCGAGGAGAGTTACCTTATCTTCATTGTCCTCGTCAGCTGATTTTTCCATGAGGGCAAACAACCCATCAAACACGTTAGCATCATCTTGAGCCGCCAGCATTGATGCATCATCAGGGCATTCTGACTCACTTGAGGAATCCCCCCAAGCAGCAAGAGCTTTCTTCACAAAATAGTCAGCTGTAGCTTTTCTTGCATTCTTCTCAGGTACCAGGTCCCTCCTCTTATCTTTTTCACCTCCAGGTCTTTGATACTCTTTGCTTTTAGCTTTAAGTATTGGGCAATCTCTTATGAAATGGCCTGCCTTTCCACACTGCTTGTGACAAAGGTCACTAGCAGATGCAGCCCTATGAGGATTCCCTCCTTTTCTAAATCCTCTGTACTTTCTCACAATTTTCTGAAATCTCTTGGTCAGATAGGCCATGTCATACTTTTCACTTGAAGTTTCTCCTGGTGTGATTTTGAGAACTAAGGACTTGTCTTTCTTGGCTTCCTTCTTTGAGATGTCCTGATTTATGTTCATTTCATGGGTCTCGAGGTTTCCAATGAGAGCATCCATTGTCAAAACCTTCAAATCCTTAGCTTCAGTGATAGCATCTACTTTGCTTGCCCAGGACTTTGGAAGAATTCGAAGAACCTTCCTAACTTGCTTACTAGTGTTGATGGGCTCACCCAGACTTCGTAGCTCATTGGTTATGGAGGAAAGTTTAGTATGCATTTCATGAATGGTCTCTCCTTCCTTCATAGTGAAGTTTTCATATTGAGTGGTCAGCCTATCCACCTTCGATTCCTTCACCTACTCTATTCCCTCATGAGCAGACCTTAGGCAGTCCCAGATTTCCTTTGCGGACTCACACACAGAGATGCGATTGTACTCTTCAGCACCAATACCATATACTAGCAGCTTGTTAGCTTTATAGTTTTTTTCGATCCTCTTTTTGTCTGCCTCGTCGTACTGTTGTCAAGTCTTTGGAACAACTTTTTTTATTTCACCAACCTTGACTTCATTGGTTAGAATGAAGAGTCTGTCTAACACTATGTCCCATAGCTCGTTGTCTTCAGACATTAGGTAGTCATGCATCCTTGTTTTCCACCAGCTATAAAATTGTCCATTAAAGCGGGATGGTCGTACAGAAGATTGTCCTTCTTCTAGGTTCAACGGAGCAGCCATTCTTATGCAGGAACCTCTCTCTTGCTGTTAACCAGCTAGAGAGAACCTGCTCTGATACCAATTGATAGAATGTGTGCGTCCACTGTCAATCAAGGGACCAGGTCCTTTGACTCAACAAGAACAATACCGAAGCGTATATAATAATAAGAACACAACACAAGCAGTTTACGTGGAAACCTCCTTTCTCAAGGGAGTAAAACCACGACCTGTCACACATGATTTTCAACTGTTTCCACTAATCTTCCTTAAGCAAAAGTGAAACTCAGTTACAACCAAAGTGAGAAGAAGTTATTAATCTCACAACCAAGTAATAACTCTATTACTTGAAGAGCCTAAGCAGATGTCACACTGCCCACTAAGCTATCACCACTAGACAACTTAGGATTTCAACTAAGCAACACACCGGTTGCCCACTAAACCACCCAACACTAGATGACTTAGAATTTGACTAAGCACCAATGCAATGTTGCCCACCAAATCGGTTACCTCTAATCGATTTGGACTTTTCAACAAACAATAATATTTGAAACCTTTATAGATTTAGGAACAGATTTACAATGTATGTGCAGAAGAAATAATCCTAAGACAACTAAGCGTGCAGCTCTATCAGGTCCATGTTGTTCTTGAGGATGATTCTTCACTTTTGTTTGCCTTTGCAAGAGTTCTTGAGAGTTTTCAAGTTGCAAAAACTAAGGTTATGACTATTGGACATAATCTTTAATAGGAATAGTCACAACCTTCGAGGCAATGCCATTGGCTGAGGTTTCTTCCACTTCTGCCACAGTTGGAGACTGTGCACCAACTAATTATACTTTTTCCAGCCTGGCAGTTGTGTGTATATTTGCACCCGGGATCAGATGGGGATCAGGTCCCTTTAGAAGGTCCCGGAGTTTGTCAAATCATCAAAACTACCACTAAACAATTATTGAAATAGGAAATTAATTATTTTCACTGTAACGTCAAGTTGTAAGCTAGCCCATTCGTTTTGAAAGAGTGAAATTCATCTTACTACTACGTGTTCATAGTAATGACAATTGTGTTATCGAATGCATCCTTAAAGTTTATCATTCTACATTACTAGCTTCAGGGCAACCAAGATCCATGTTTGTTGCCCAAAAAACTCATTCATAAACTCATTCTAGCGCCAGTTTTAAAGGGGATGGCATGGTGTCCGTGAACACTCCGATTTAAATGTCCCAACCGGGAAATTTCATAAATCTGCCCATTTAAACACTCAAATGAAGATGCGATATTACTAATTTCAAAAAGATTGCATAAAGTCTTACAGTGATAAGCTGATGAACTCTATTTTCTTATCGTAAAAAAACATCTAATCAAGAACCTACTTGTACAGTTGTACTGTATGCATTTTATGTAACTGTTGGAATGTATGCATCCACGAATATCGATGGGACCAGGTACTCACCACAGTTACAAAACAGACGGTAAAATAAATACTGAAAGTAAAGATTGCACAAATAACTTTACGTGAAAACCTCCTTGCTCAAGAGAGTAAAACCACAACCTGGCCTGCCAGGACTTTTCGAACTGCTTCCACTAATCTTCTCAAAGCAAAAGTAAAATCAAGTTTACAAAATGAGATTAACCTACTAATCTCCACACTAAGCAATATATCCTATTACTTAGACGAGCCTAACCAGATACAACACTGCCCATTAAGCTATCACCCCTAGATAACTTAGAGGTTGCTAAGCGGATACCACACCGCCCACTAAATCAACTAGCTCCTAGATGACTTAGACTTTGACTGAGCAGATACAACACTGCTCACTAAATCGGCTAACTCTAACCGACTTAGACCTTTCCACACAGAAACAACATTTGAATCCTTTATAGACTAGGAACAGATTTACAATATACGCATGGAAGTATAACTCCTAAGACACACTCAGATGCTTGCAGCTTGATCAGGTCCTTGTTGTGCTTGCTGGAGAATACTTCACCAAAATGGTCTTTGCTTGTATACTTGAGAAGTTTCAAGATGCAAAAACCTATAAAATGATAGACACAAAACTCAAACTCAACAAAGGTGCTTCAGTACTTTATAAGATCCTTTTGTTGAGTGTGAGTATTGTTCTACCTTGAAGATGGCTTTTTCCTTTTATGCTTGTGAGTTTTTGTTTGCCAAAATCTTGAGTTTTTGTTTTGTGTTGAGAGATTATATCAAAATGAATGCAAACTCCTTGGGACCGCCCATTGGCTGAGAACCTGCCTTTCTGGAAGGACATGCACCTACCACATCAGAAGTGGTAGCTTTTCTGATAGTTGTCTTGTCGTCATTTCACATCGTAGTCTTGAAGGGACCAGGTCCCTTGGAAACTTCTCTTAGTAAGTTCTTGAGAATACGTGCTGGCTCTCTCCTTTTGAATCAATGAATTAGTTTGTTGTTTTTCCTTGGATATATTTAGACATGAAAAGTTTTTATCCAATGAACAAGCAACCTCGTCGCTTCTAATTGGTGGAGTACTCTGCAGTTTCACTAACTTTCTGACGCAGACAGCTTTCTAGTTGTACAACACTTTGACCACTGGACGAGTATTTATACTCTGCAGAGGACCAGGTCCCTGCATAACTCCTCATGTGAGTGAACAAACATTTATTCAATAACTGGTGTTCCTCCTTAATTAGTGTCCATGCACTTGTAAGGAGATCATCAAATCATTTAGGAACATAAGCACTTATCAATTTCCCCCTTTTTGATGATGACAAACAACCTGCATAACTCCTCACGTGAGTGAACAAACATTCATTCAAATACATAACAAATTCCCCATTTGTTAGTGCACCAGTAACAACCACAGTTCCCCCTTAGTTCAATGCCCCTAACAACCACAGTTCCCCCTTAGTTCAGTTCCCCTATTCCACAGCCAACTTTACAACAAAACTTCCCCCTTTTGACATCATTGAAAAAGTGAAGCAGTAAACATATTCAAGTTAAATGCAAGACAATAAAGAATTCAGGGCCTTGGGCCACACAGAACATGTGTATGTAAGCATAAAGAAAATATTAAGCCACACATGAACAGGGCAAAAACATAAGTCGCATTAGATCACAAATACTGACCACTGTAGTTAGTCAAAACAAACACAAAGCCACAAGAGTTTTAATCAGCATTGAAGAACAAAGAGGGAAACTAGGGAAACAAGACACTTTTAGGACGGAGGGGGAAGGGGATTGAGGGTGCGCGCATAAACAGAGACAAACGCTCATTTGCATCCTTATGGGCCTTGATAAGCTGCATGTTGAGATCCTTAACTTCCTCACTGTGTGAGGCATTTTTCTTCAGCAACCCTTCATTTTCATCCCTCAACTTTTGCAACACCTGCTCATTTCCATCGCTGGTACCAGGTCCCCTCGAAATCGCCTTCTGTAATTCAGACCTCAGTGAAGCGATTTCAATCTCCTTGTTATTTAGAATCTCAGTAAGATCAATCACTTTCCGTTTAAGAGCAGTCTGCTGCTCTAAAACATCTTCCACTTGAGATCTGCCCCTAGATTTTCCTTCAACACACTCGCATTCCAGCATAATGGCAGGGAGGTTGATCTCTTCAAGTTCATCAAGCTTCTCCATGAGAAAAAGATCAGCAGCAGATGCCACTGTTCTCTTTTCAGTTATGGGCACTAACACTTTGTTGATGAACTTAAAAAGCAATTGATATTCCCCTTTGAGAAACCTTTTTGGTAACCCTGTATTCTTGACATCTCCACGTTTTGTGGCAAGTTTTGTGTAGTCACTGGATGGTTTACAAGCTTCGATTGTTCGAATTCCTTCCACAGGAACCCCTAAAATGATCCCCAATATTTCTTCATCCAGACATGTTTCAACATTCCTGACAGTAGTCGCGATTCCACCACTTTCCAGAAGTTCTATTTTGTAGAAAAATTCACGCACCTCAGGTTCATGCAAGTACGGAACTAGTGGTTCAAAGAGATGGTTCCAACCTTGAATGGAGACAGCATCAAAAGATTTGACATGCCAAATTTGGTTAGGATGTCAGGGTCAAAGACTCTGCCATTCAAAACCTTTTGGTTCTCCATTGCCATTATCCGCTCATCCCTTGTCATTTCCTTTTATTCACTTTGCTTTTGCACCCTAGGACCTGGTCCCTTTATGACTTTTCATTTTCAGCCACCTGTTTTCTAACTTTCTCCCTTTTCACCGGAGATTTCTTTGCAGCCTTCTAGAGTAGAAAATGAGAAGTTGAATGAACTATGGTTTTCAACTTCTTGGGAGATAGGGATCTTTGAAGAAGAATTAGAGTTAGACATTTTGAGAAAGAGAGAAAAACTTTGGAAAGGGAATTAGTGAATTTCAACAAGAATTGTTTGATGAGATTCTGTAATTTGATTCACTAAGAGAAGTAGTATATAAAACCAAAAGACATCGGGTCCCCAACAGTAGCGACCTTTGGTTTAAAAGCAAAAAGACGTCTGAAACTGACATGAAGAATGGGCGAGGGACACGTGGCAGTGATGTTGACATACAGACAGTGTAGTGTAAGTGATACTAACCTTAGGAGGACCAGGTCCCATTTTCAGTTTGCAACCCTAT